ATCATCTATCTTCATGAGTTACTGAGACATCTCCCAAAATATTTACTAATCACTTTCAGGATTAATACCTTGGAGGTGATACAACGTCTTCCTCCTATGCTCAACAGTCACAGTTCACTTTACTCGATTATTGTCCCATCCACATTTATGAAGGAGAAGGAACAGATCTGCTGTGCTTCCTCTGCCCGGGGCACCACTTTGTGTGGGACAAGCTTTGGAACATGTGACATTGGGAATGCTGTGTAAAACATCCCATGAGACTGGCTGGATAGCGCCCCTATACAACCTTGCATAAATACTAATTTGTTCATGCTTCCATTTAAGTAGGATTTGGTTTTTTTCCACATAAAAACATTTTGGTGGTCTTTTTTTTTTTAATTCTTGGTTTTTCTGGAATAATCAGAACAACAATACAAGATTAAGAAAATGGATTAAATGAGACATACTAATTGCTGGCTGTGATCAATTAGTGATTGTAAGCCCACCCACATATAGCTTCAATTGCTAGTAATTTACTTGCATGAATTCAATAGAAGCAGACAAATTTCAAAATACCTCAATCGCTATTATTTTAATTGATAATTTGTCTGTTGTAACTGCACCAAAAAACTTAACGTTTTTTAAATTCATAAGAGACAAAGTAGGATCCTGAAGTCTACCCAAAGACTTTTAGTCAACACTCAGAATAGCCTTCCTTGCTACGTTTTGCTTTCAACCTCCCAAAAAGTTTCTCTCATTTACTTGTCCATAGCAAAGGGCAGGATTTATTGCTTTGTTTTCAAGCATTCTTCAGTTCCAATGACAGGAAACCATTCAAGGCCTATGTCAGAGTCTTGACCACTTGGGAAACTATAATGTGGTGACTTCCTAGGGAATTAAGTCACATGGGCTTAATGGCATTTGGGGTTGTGGCTATCCCTGGTAGTAACTCAGGAGTGAACTTCTCACGCTACACTGGAAGACTTCTGCCTAATGCATCCTCATGCTCTTGCTGCTCCCCTCAAAACAGACCTGTCAGACATATTTTTGCTTCAAAATACAATTGAAAAAAATTCTTCAAATCTTCTAGGCCATGTTATTAAAAATTCTTGTGTATTGCCTGTTTATTGTCCTAATTCTGCTGAAAGGTGAAGGTCAATTCTTATAAAACAGTATCACAATTTTACACTGACTACAAGTATTAAACCAGGGCACACAATTGAACATAGTTTATCCTTTGCTTAAACCATCAGTGTGGCTTTTGAACATGGTTTTAAAATAGCATTATCTAAAAAAATCCCAATGTTATTAATCACTTCTTACAAGACCTTTAGAGGTTCTCCCTTTTCCTGTTCATAAATCCTTAATCTTTGCATTAATTTTTTTCTCAGACAGGAAACAGTAACAATTGATTTACATAGACAAAATCAGCTTTTCTCAGTTTTCAGTCCAGCTTCCTCTGAGATCTCATTGACCTCTGAAGTTCAACTTCTTCCAAGAAAGTTTTCTTTGGGATTAATAGCCTTCAGCATCAAATCATTGAGTGCCATAGACATAGCAGTGCTATAAGTAAAGCTTCGGCCTTCCCACATAAACTCTTATTTTCAGAGGTTTATAGTTTGGCTAAAAAAAGTACAGTTTTATGCTGAAACGTAGCTTGAAAAGCTCAGTCTGGAAGTGATTTCAGTTTCTGAGAAATCTGCACAACTCTGTCGTTGTTTTCAGATTGAAATTCTGACCAAGACTATAACTTGCTGTCTACATCCCATTGCTGCCTGACTTTCTAAAAGTGCAGATCCACTCCTGAAAAATTATGGAAAGGCAAGCTAAAAGGGTGTTTTAAAAATGGTTATTCCATATGTTAAAAGATTTTCAAATTGGATCTACTCCCTGCTTCTCTGGAAGACAGTCTAATCACTTGAACACACAGTGTTTTTCTGAGGATTTCAGCCAGGCTGAGGTGTGAGCCCAGCTGCTCTGCAGTGATGGAGCACTCTCAAGGTTTCTCTGAGTGCCTGCATGCAGAGTAATGGAGGAGCCTGCTGGTCCTGCAGCAGTTGGAAATACTGATGGATTGGGGGATGAAAACCTTGTAGAAAGGAGGCTCAAGAAAATCTGCATTGGCGAGTTTGGGGAAACTGGTGCCTCCTGCTTCTTCAGGAGCCATGGGAGTGCTCTGGTGGCTGGGGCTGAGTGCCAGGAGGGACAGGTGAGGAGAGAAGGAGGCAGACACCTTTCCAGCATCCTGAAACAAAATCTTCACCATAATTAGAGATGAAACTAACAGTACTTACATGCTGGTTTGCACAATTGCCTTCAGAAGGGATTTGGAGGCACCATCTGGAGGGAAGGGTGACAGAGAGGTGCCATGGAGTTTCCAGTTTCCTTTGTAGGTAATTCCTGTAAAGGGATGACCTGGTCCTGAGTCAGTGCTGCTGGAGATGGGAATACAAACATAGCACACCATGCAAATGTGTTCAAAGCCACAGGATGCAAATGTAATTGCTTCAAAGCAAAATCTTCTCATCTGAGATGGTGACCCAGTGAAATATGCTGCTTCTTGTGACCACTCATTCTTTCCACAACAGAAATCTGAACAAGCCAGAGGCAATATTCTGCCCCCACCTTCCCCCAAACTCATCACCAAAACTAAAAATATCCCATCAGTCTTTCCACATAAGTACAGCACAATTTGTTATGCCCATGTCCAGAAGAAGGAAGACTATTTCATTTAGTTAATATAAATAGTATCTTAAACACTTGCCATGTAAAGGAAAAGGCCAAGGAGCCCTCTAGATGATCCCCTTGTTTCAGATGTCACTCCTACAATCTAGACACATCACCCTTATATTCATCCCATGTTTTCAAATGGAAATATATTTCTGCCCAACAACAGCAAGGCAACATCCTCTGAAAAATGAGGCACCAGTAACCATGCAGAATTTACAGTGTAGCATCTGAGTAGGAAATACCAACCTTCAGATCTTTGGGAGTGCTCCATTTGAAGCTGATCCAGAAATATATATTTTTTTTTTGGCAACAGCTCATTATAACTAGGCAAATTCAGTCCAAACTCTGAAACTTCTTTTGAAGGTATAATGGCAGGGAAACCTCACAGACAAGATTAGAAGGAAGATAAGGAGGTAGCTTTACAGATGTCTGAAGGAGCACTTTCCAAATGTAAGGAATGGCATGGGATAAAGCTTCAGACTGAGCGACTGAAAATCTAAGAAGTCAGTGAAGGAGGCTGGCATCATGGGCTAATCAGTGAAAGAAGTGATTTCTTGATCCTGCATGAGAGATGATAGGTAGGATGAGGTGCAGGCTTTGAAGGTGAAGACAAGCTGCTTATATCTGATAGAAAAAGGGTGTTACATTTGACAGCCAGAGTGATGGGCTAAGCAAATGATCTCTGCAGTGCTACAATGTATAGAAGCATGCTGCAAAATTGCATTTTTCGAAAGCAGAGGAATGGCTATTGAAATCAAAAGAGCTTGGTAATTACAGACATATATATTCATTCTTACACAGTAATAATCTCTAAGTTCTATAATTCACTTCCATAAGACAATTATTTTTAATGGTCATTTTAAACTTAAACTGAGCATGTTGCATGGGAAGGTGGGAATTTTATTGGATATTTCTAATAACATTGTTTTGTGTCAGCATTTTCATTTTAGCATTCCTTTAAAATTTCTATTTTATAAGAGAAAAAAATGACTTGCTAACAAATCCTTTTTACATGCAACTCTGTTTGGTTTTAACTAAATCTTTTCATTTACACACAGCACCTGAGGTCATTCAATGCTCATATCCATGGCAATTACATAATGTCTTAGCTGGTGGTCTCAGTTTGTTCCGCTCTGGCTCTGGTAGCTGAGGAGAGGTTGTCTATTACAACTTGGAGATGGCTCTGGAAACTCAGTATGCTGGATACCACAGACATCAAGTTGCTAAATGCACCACACCTCTGAGACATAAAGATTTAACAGCACTTCTCCACTTTGTTTGGCAGTATTACATTAGAGTAGTTCTTTCCATAATACATATTAAATTAATTTTATTCCCTGTTGTAGCATATCCTTCCTTTCCCCGATGCAGAGACTGGTGCACACACATTTTTCCAGGGCAAGGCTTCTCCTATTAATAGACAACTTGGCTCCACACACTGAGATGAACGAACAAGGTTTGGAGTGCCTAATTTAAGGGACCATATGTCATAAGCTATAGTATCCTGTTAGATTGGAATAAAACAAAGAAAGAGTGAGAGGAAAAATAGCTTCCTCCCATTAGCTGACCTCAGACTGAAATTTTCAAAGATGTTTATTTAAGTGGGCTTAGAACTATTTACTTATTCTGTGCATCATATGAAGTTATGCATATTTCTAATGTATTCTTGATGGGGGTGCTGCCTCAGAAAAAGAACTTCTGAGAGTTACCACAAGACAAAAATAACACAGTGATCCTGATTTTTTTTTTCCTGGAACTGCCTTCAAAGTGTGGCCAGCTTCACATTTTTCTGCTTTGACTTTCCAGCTTGTAAAAACTGGAATACAGTTGTTTACTGTTTATTTAGTGTCCTGTGATTGTAAGATATTGCAATTTTTCCTCTGCTAATGTAAAATAGACTGGTGGATGAATGTCCTTTTTTAAAAACAAATTATATTAATTACTATTATTGTTTAACTGGCCCATCTCAGCTGCACAGTTCAAAGAAATGTGCTCTTTCACACTCTTAGGGTTGTTATATAATCAGCATTCCTCACAAATATTTGAATGATTAGAGCTAGCAATCATATTTTCCTGGCAAGTTGTCCACTTTTGGGTGCAACAGATTCAGAACTAGAAAATGTAAAAATCAGCATTTTCATTTACTTCCTCCTGCTCTTCCCATATATTCCTACTGGCTTTTTTCCTTCCCTGCTTAGTCTTTTAATAAATATCTCTTGAAAAGTAGTATTTCCAGATCATTTCATTCAGGTAAGGATATGGGTAAGACTGTGACCAGCTGACAGGCATACCTGTTACACTTCTATTTTTAGGATGTGCCATTCCATACTTCCAGTAGAGTTCCAACTTCCCTTCCCCTTATGATCCAAATTGGCAGTCACGGGTTTGTGTTGGTGTGAAAAACAGAAAAGGAAGACATTTCTTAGCTAACATAACTCACAATTTAATTGTTTTCTTCTTACACTCCTTGTGACCAAAAGCAGCAGGTTAAAAGATTTACTCTATTTACTGTATTTATGAAAGGGAAAAATGTTTGGAGAAGAAAAACTTATTTGGACTGAGAAGAAATTTTGTGCACATATTTTAACCGGTGATTATTTGGCTGCCTTATGAATCTGTAATGCTGAATATTGCCTGCATTCAGATACTCAAAAAGCAGAAATTAATAAAACGTAACAAATAAAAGCCACACACAGGGAGAAAAATATCCTTACAATAACTTACTCACATTTGCAAATACTACAGGCACTCCTCACCTTTATTTTTGTCCTAATTTAGTTGGCAACACAGAGTCAAAGGTGATGTCCAGACTTAAGAGCCCAAGAGCTCTGGGAATAGGGAATAAAGCTGATATTAATCAACAGCAAAAGTTATGCAATACAAAGGGCTGTGATGTAGCACACTGCCCTAGAGAAAACATTCCAGTGCCCCAGTTCCAAAAAGCCTTTGGTGCTTTGTGCCTGTGGGAGGTGTCCATGAGGACCAAACCCATGTCTGTGGGAACCCATCTCCAAGGGGAAGAAGAAAATTTGAAACGTGACCTTTGATGGCAATTTCAACATCTCAGTCCTGTTGTATTTCAGTGGAATACGTCACCTTATTAGCTGGGAATTTCTTGTGATTTGGCTGTTTGGCAGCTCACCAAAAGGTAGATCCACTCTGTATTCCAAAGCAGAGCTCGGGGCCAGAAGTCTGACACTTCCCAGGCACATATGAATAGGTTCACCTGCATCTGTGCCATGGTTCCTGTACATTTGGGCCATGCTGTCCTTGAGCTTTGCAAAAGGGAAGGTAAATATTTTGGTATTTGTGTTTTAAAATGTCAGGAAAAAGAATTTTTTGTTTAATTTTTTTTCTCTTTTAGTTAGACTGGTGAAGATGTAATTTAAGGAACCATACTGGCATGCATCTTTGCAGTCTAGCAAACAAGGCTCTGGAGTTGCACTGCTGAATCTGCTCAATGCAAAAGTAAAATTGAAAAGTCAGGCTTTGGCTAACAGTGTGTTCCCTTTGAAGAAAGAATTGTGATTTTTGGCAGAGGAAGTAAGGAACTAGGACAAAACAAGGAAAGGAAGAAGTTGGTTTTTTCTCTCCATCAGTCAGCTCCTTAATTTTCGCTGCCAATATTATAAGTCTGGTTTACAAGTTAAACATAAATCTATTTCTATATTATTTCAAATTAAATTACAGAAAATCACAGTGCTTGTGTGTTGAAATCTTTGAGTATTGAGAGAAGAAAAATGAGGCAAATAAACATATGAAGCAAAGGTCATTTTGCTGTCAACAGAAAATAGCCCAAGTCAGAAAAAAAAAAATTCCATTCACATTTCATATATTCACAACTCAGTACAAATTTCATTCCTTTGTAATGTCATTTCTTATTACAGAGATATAGGCAGAGATCTAGAATACTTAGGTGTACAACTTTGGTGTTTCAATCTCTAAATAATTAAACATACAAAAAATATATCCTTGATAATGAAGAGTGAAGGAAACCTCCCTGTAGTTCTTCTTCAACAAGAGATTTTGGATATAACTTGGATCATAAGATGCCAAAATAAAAGTATTATCCTGAGAAATGTGTTAATTGCCCCAATTATTTAATATAACATCTCTTAAGTCTCTTCATGATAGTAAAAGGATTGATGTTAAGAGCCAAGTTGTTTAGGAACTTTTCTGCAGCATCTCTTACCATCCCAATAACTATGAGCAAATTTTGAATATATCAAACTAATTTTCTAATGTCCAGCTGAAAGATATGCATACTTTTTTAATAATGAAAGGGAAATTACACAGGGATACCCTGTTACAAAATGTAACCAACAAATTATAAATTGTTTAAAAAATGACTTGTGCAAGTTTCTCATAGGAATAAGGAAAAAAAAAAAGTTTGCAAGCATTTAAAAAAATTGCATTACTTTTATGTTGTCACATTATAGTGACAGTTCTCACCCCAAAGAAAAGCAAGAATTCAGACTTTTGTATAAACAGTCTCTAAAGCAATGGAGGCCTCTGAGATTTCCAAGAATCACTTTTAAACTGAAAATGGAAAGAATCCACTTCTGCAAAATCTGTCCTTCCTGCAGTAAAACTGCTAAAAGTGAATCTTTACAAAAGGGACACAGTGCAGGAACACAGCTAAGAAACCTGTAGCAAATTTAGGTAGAGGTAGAAGATAGGGATTCTATTTGACCCCATTTCCACTGATGTAGTGTCTTTCATTTATTGGAAGAATAATGCCTTATATGCATTATGTAAAAATTCAACCTTCCTTCTTTTTATTAAATACTTATGGTACTGATTCTAAAACAAATCTTTTCTCTGCCACTAAGGAACACAGGTGGAGTAGTGGGCCCATGCCTAGAAATATATTATGAAAAATCTGTGAAAATAAAGAGTGAACCTCAGAAAATTAAGTAATGTTTCAAAGAAAATAAAAATTAGGCAGCCAGACTTTGTCTTTAAAATTTTGGAGTTTTGTTAGATTATATCCCAAGAAAATCACATGATAAACCAGATTTTTTAGCAAGCTGTAATTTTAATATTTAGGTTAAAAAATATATGTGACTATAAATGTAGTTCAAAACCTCATTTGAAATAGTATCACCATAATCATTAAGGTGACCCATTCTTATAACCAAAGTGCAAGTAGGAAAGAAATCATGTCACTCACTGAAATCTTCATTTCAGTTGCAAAATACCCTCAGCTACAACTCTGAAACCCTCAGTCCTGTCTTTGAAAGGGCACTGAAGGTACTGAGCCCTGCACAGAAATTAGTGCTTATCCAGGACTAAAAACCAGTGCTGCAAACATCCAAACAGGCTTTTGTGCAGTTTCACCCAATTTCCTAATGACAGTCAGCTTTATTCGAAAACTCTGGCAATGACTGTGATCATCAGCAAATAAGAAACTGGGATTTTACTTGGTGTGAGTTTCTGCAGAGTGAAAAGCACTGCAGGATCTTCCAATGGAAGATTAAAGTCAGTAGTTATTCATTGCAATGTTTTTCCTCAGCATGATAACTGAATTTGGAGAAGCTGTGAGGCTGCTTCAGTGAGTGGTGCTAAGCATGATCCTGAAGCAAGAACAAGCACTTACACTTCCATGGTGCTTCTTTCTTGATCCAAACAGAGGACAGTAATCTCACAAAGCAGAAAGGGAGGAAGTCAGTATTTGATTTAGGGTCTCTCTGTAAAAAGGTCATCTTACTGTGGGATCTGAGATTTAACCAAGGAGTATTTAATTTCTGGTGGGAAAGAAACAGCCTTCCACTTCCCCAATACATAAAGAACCTAACTGAAAAATCCAGTTCCTTGAAGTATTCAAGAGCGCCAAATCTGTAATGAAAGTATTAAATATTTTCTCTGATCCTATTTGGGCAAGTATCTCATGTGAAGACACTGTCTGGCATGCCTTAAAAACTGTATATCTCAATGGCCAAAGAAAATAGGAAAGGCAGCAATATCCGAGAAACTTCCTACTCCTTTTCACATGATGGGACTTAGAATCCCACAGGGTCAGGGAGTCTCTGAGGAGAGAATTGTGTGGGGGAGAAAACAGGTTTATGTTTTTGACATTTTCTTTGGAAAAAGAAAAGATTATGAATTTTTATTATTACTTGTGCGCATTAAATTTGAAATAATTCACTTTTAGACAATAGTGTTTCTTAGCTGATATTTATCCATCAGGAAAATGCCTGCCTTTGTATGTTTTCTTTGATTGGTGCTGTCAGATGGAAAACTTTTGGCCTGATACAGTCTGAGGACTGAGTATCTGATAGGGAAAGACTTTGGAGCCAACATCCCAATCTTAGTGGCTCTACCAGAGTTGATATTTGAATAAATACGTAAAACATATGTTTGGAAGAAAAAGCCTTTATCAGGAATCAGAACTTGTAATGCTTGTTGTATGTCTTTTTCTGTCCACCCCAAACCTAGATTTGCATTTTACCCTAAATCTGACCAGTGTCTGGAAGTGTCTGAATGCTTTTGTCTCTGGTTCCTGAAAATATATTTATTCAAGGGTGATTTAAACCTTTCCTTTTTAGTTACATGAAGTTTAATGAGAAACTTGCTGCTGCTGTACACAGACCTATTAGGGAAAGTGAAAATTGAACAAATGCTCACGATGTGTAAGTCATTGACAGCACATTTCTTTTTTTAACCTTTTAATAGGAGGAAAACCTAAGCCATGAGTCACAGGACATTACATTTTAATTTTTCAAAGTACTTATATAGTCATTTAATGAATATGTATTTAGGTCCAGTCAGAGTTGTGGTGAAGTTTCAGTGAAACTCTTGACAGCAGCTCTTGACAGAGAACAAAGCCATGGGTGGGCTGGTAAATCCCTGTCTGGAGCACTGACTGTGACCAAGAAAAAGGGAATTACAAGGAGCATATGGAATCACTATGGTGTATCTAGCAGGGCCTGTGCTTCCACACACTGTTCTTACTCCAGAAGCATTACAGTAGCAGCATATTAGGGACATTTCCTGAAATGAATATCCATGCCTCCATCAATAGGGTCCTGAAATACTTTGGAAAATAACTATTAGTTTATCTTTGCTTTATTTCTGTAAGCTATGGACAAGCTCCCTGCTATGAAGTTGCCTCTGGATTCTCTTACCACTGACAATAACCGAGGCATTAAACCCCACTGCTGTGTGTTCTGCAGGGGGCAGTCTGAGCAAAGCTTTTATTTTGTTTTCTAGTATGAAAAGATGGGAAAATCTGTTTTGCCAAACCAACATGTAGAACATTAATGATCAATGTCCAAAATGTTTTCAGTGCTGGTTAGCTAGAATTATTTTAAAATTTGTCTAGCAGAGTATTCAGAATGAGTCATGTAGAAATGAGTATTTATGTTCCCTCTGACCTCAAACATTCGTGGCCTTGTACAAGGTCACATAAGGAGACTGTGGAAAGCTTCCACATAACTTATTCTGGATAATTTCTCTCCTTAGTTCAGCAAGCTGTGTATGTGATATACAACACGTGGTTTTTGGTGCATTCAGAAGCACTTTAAATTCTCATAAAATTCAGTTTATAGCTATTTAATTGTGAATGATGATAACTGAAAATATAGAAGGAATGTTGGTGCAGGGAGACAAATTGCAAGGGACAGCATTTTGCTGTTGCTGCTGAGGTTATTTTTAAATCTGGCAATGATTCTGTCACCATTACATACACTGTTTTACCCAAAGATATTCTGAAACCAGCATAGAATTCCCAATCCAAAGACTAAGAATTCAGAAAAATAAAATGCAAAGACAGCTGTCTAGGTTCTTGACAATTTTCCTGGATCTCCTAAAATTATTTTTCCAGAGCGACTGTTTTCTGCGTTTTCCAGACATATTTAGAGTTGTAAAAATATTTCTGAGTGTGGTGGTTTAACCCCAGAAAGCAGCTAAGCACCACACAGCCGCTCATCCTCTGGGAGAAAAATTAACTCTTTCCCTGCCAAACCCGGCACACAGATACAAAAGCACATATTAAAGAGCATGATTCAGATCAGAAGGACTGATGAGTCAATCACATATGCAGCAACATAATGAAGAAAATGACAGGAAAAACTGAAATGCCTGTAAAAGGATTTCCTTAAAGCCTGATTAGGAGAAACTCAGATGACACTGAGTATTGTGTTTCATACAGGGAGTTATTTTGCCACTTGAAAATGTGGACTAGCAGGCAGAACCTAGAATAACGAAATTCCAGTACCTAAGAACCACAGACATCTCAGGAATTGTATGCAGTTCTTAGCAGCAAAATGAAAAA